TGATGAGATACATCCTAGTAGACATCTAGCGTATATCGCATCTTCTTCTTTTATTTCATCTTCTTGATCTATTTAGTCATCGATATAGCGAAAATTCATTTTTCTACACGTGGACAACCGTTTAGGACAATGAATTTTCGCTATATCGATGACTAAATAGATCAAGAAGATGAAATAAAAGAAGAAGATGCGATATACGCTAGATGTCTAAATAGAGTTTTCTCTTTTAGCGTATCCTGATCTTTTTCTTGATGTCGCATACAGATCATCTTTTCTTTTGTCTATGTATCCTCATGTCTGACATACACATATCCACATGCGACATCAAGAAAAACATAAAGATACGCTAAAAGAGAAAACTCTATTATTTATTTTTAGATGTTTGAGATTTTGCCTCATATTCAGACTGGTGAAAGAGAAGAAGATACCGAGGAAGAATGGCCGAGTGGTATAAGCCGTGGAACTCTGAATATTATAAGCTAGACTATCTCACTACATCGCGAGTTCGAATCTCGATCCTGGCACTTCAATTTTTTACTTTTTTCTTGCCAACAAGGCAATAAGTACATTTCTTGAGTAAGATGGTAAAAAGGTTGTTTCTTGCACAAGAAATGACAAGATCTTGGGACATTCTTGCCCCAAGATCTTGCTATTTCTTGGGAGCAAGAACTTTCGCTAGGGTAGGCACACAGCCGTTGTCCGAAGAGAAAGGGAGGTGTACCCTTTTCCGTTTTGTCACAAGGTTGAACATTTTTCTCTCCCGAGTAGTGTGATGATCATGGGTCTCATTTAAGCATTTGAAGATCAGCACAGTGAAGATCTTTGTTACTGTGTCAGTCAAACAGGCTGATTGTGCTAGATCTGAGAATGGAAATGATTTTGACACAGTGAGATTTTATGCATTTTTATTTTGAAAATTCCAATCTTATGTCGAAGTCAGTGACACACAGAGAAGAGACTTAATTTTTCATGAGCATAAATAGCTCAAAGAAGTTGGCACATAGAAGATCCCCATATACCACTGAAGAGTTTAAAAGTATATGATTTATAAATATTTATAACTTCAATCATTTATAACTATTTAGCAACAAAATTTAAAATAGTCATAAATAGTTCGAGCCAAAAATTTTAACCCTAGTTGAGATTTACAAATCGAGTTGAACGCAGCCAGAGTACAGCTTTTTGATGATTGAGTGAATAAAAATGCTGCACTCTGCCTGCGTTCAATCCGATTTATAAATCAATTCAACTTTTAATTTTTCAAAATTACTGTTGGTGAACTCTTTACTGCCTTGTACTGTAGAAAAAGTTATGAGCTTCCCTTCGCAGCGACGCAATATCAAGTCCCAAAAGATCTTTATCTCTTCAACGTAGTATAGCTCAGCCTTCGTTTATGTCAATCCTTTAGCTTGTTTCCCAGTCTGTGTGGTTCAGTTTTGTGACGAAAATAGGAAGTAGAGTCATTTTTGGCAGCAATAGACACAACTACAACATAGTGTTATCATCGACGTTACTAGCTTCTTCTCTTTCGTCATATTGCTGTGTACTCTAGAAATGCTTCGTGTTGTCGAAGAAAAGTCCAAGTAAAACACAAACACAATGGCTATGCCTCAGTAACACAAATAATATTTAGAAAATTAGTCATTGGAATTTTCACCAAATCTTATCGAAATCTTATATGGATTCTAAATAGTTACATTGCACATACCTTACGTAAGAATCTTATAAGTATCTTATATATTCTTATAAGAATCTTATAAATATTTTACGCATTTTCATCGACTGCCTTATTAAGAAATTCATAAGATTTCTAAAAGATTGTTGCAGATATTCTATAAGGTTCTTATAGGAATACTATATAAGATTTGATCCCTAGGGTAAAATATTAGCATTTGCTTGTCCTAATAAAAGGATTGATAGTTCCATCAATGAAGCTACGCGTTTTGTTTTTAGTTCTTATTATTGTTTCGAGCTTTTTCTATCTTTTGCCATAACGCTATCATTGGCGTTAGCACTTGGAAGAGTTTTTGCTGAGTAAATTTAAGATTTTTATCATTACGTACTAAAAATGATTTCTCCGAATATACTTCAGGAATGGTAGGATCTAATTCCGGTGTTTCTAGTAATTTTGTTTTAGGTTTGCATACACATTGTTTTCGACTGATTTTCTGTTTCTGTTCACGATTCCGACAAACTAGATGACGGAGAAGAATAAGAAGCTCTTGACGTTTTTTCTTGTGTCGCTCAGATTTTCTTGAAAGAGACGCTGAACACTTTTTCGCTTTCTTAGGTAGATGTTGTTATTTTGCGTTCGTTCTTGATGAATGAGATCGTGTTGATTCTACTTCGGATAATGAAAAATCTAAATCTGTATCAGCATCATATAAATCATTCTCATCGTGAATTGTTTCGTCTAACTGAGGATCTGTGGATGTTGATGGTCGTGATGAAACATCTATTGATGTTGATGGCTGTGTTACCTGCGGTTGTTGACGATCATCAGTGGACGTAGTTACCTGTTGGCCAATGTAGTTTGTTGTTGCCGACTTTTGGCCTTGATTTGGTTGACCTTGCTGGTACTGTTTGTGTAGTACCTGTACAGAGCTGTCTTAATCCTAATTCTATACGAATTCTAATATTCGTATCGCCATTATGTGTTATGGTAGATCGAGAATTTCGAAGTGTTAAAATTTTGAAATATCAAATTTGTCGGTCCAGATTCGAAATTTCTGAGTTTTTCAAAACTTTGGGATTTTTGGTAGTTTTGGGATGTGTGGGATTTTTGGGATTTTTGCGAATTTTGAGAATTGAGAATTTTGGTTTAGTGACAAGAAACGTGTGGTTGTGTGTCATTAAGGAGCTAATGCGACTTTTTGAAACTGTTAACTAGAA